AAGTAAGGCCTGCTTTATTTTTTTTCCTCTGAGATGGTAAACAGTATAATTGCTCACAGCTAAATTACCACACAGCTCTTTCTAAGGAAGCACATTCTCAATGTAAAAGCATTACAGAGAAAATACACCTCTACCTCGATATAACGCTGTCCTCGGGAGCCAAAAAAATCTTACCATGTTATAGGTGAAACCGCGTTATATCGAACTTGCTTTGATCCACCAGAGTGCGCAGCCCCCGGAGCACTGCTTTACTGCATTATATCCGAATTTGTGTTATATCAGGTTGCGTTATATAGGGGTAGAAGTGTATATGAAAAACGATAAAAGAAGTTACCCACCTGCTAATAAGCTTACCAGAGATCACCCCAACTCCAGCAAGGGCTCTGGTAGGAGTCAATCCTTCAAACCCCACCAAGAGATTTTCCTGTGGTTACAAATTCACAATGGCCTTGGCTCAGAACAAGCACCCCCATGAATCTGAGTCACTTCTTTATCCAATTGGGGTCTTTGATATGCAGAGAGTGCCACAAGGACTCCTCATTGTTTCAGCCAGACTGTAGTGAGGTGGACAGGCCTCCCTCCCCCGGGGGTGAGTGAGGGAGTGTTACACACCCCTTGGAGGGTGGAGCCTAAACCTCCCCGCCCTCCTTGCCGGAAGGAGAGGGGCAGGGCCGGAAGTATAAAAGACCAGCCCCGCAGCCCATTTGGGGGGAAACCTGCAAAGGAGAAGGATGTCCTGCTGGTTCCAGAGCAGCCTGAAGTGGATTCCCCACCTAGCTCAGTCCACGGCCCCAAATGCGGATGATGACTGGTCTGGAGTGCCCGCTACTGTTTACCCGGAGGAGCTGGACAATGCCTGGACACCAGAGGTACCTACCCCAGGGGAGGCAGGAAGTGGCCCAGGGGCAGTTACTGTAGGGCTGGCCACAAAGCCCAGACCCCCAGCATCAGCGTGATCCCCGCCGACCCCGGGGCAGCTGGTGTTGCTTCTGCCAGAGTCCTGAACTGGGACACGGTGGAGTAGGGAGGGCCTGTGTCCCCCTGCCCCTCCCAGTGGGTGGCTGACCCTCATTCCTCTGCAAGGGGCTCCCACTCTGAAGAGGAGTAGCCCCAGTCCCCTGAGACTGTTGTCTGCTGGCTGCCTGAGCCCTGCCCAAGCTGTAGCCAACCCCCTGAGATGGTTATTTGCTGGCTGCCTGAGCCCTGTAAGCCCAGGCCCCAGTCTACCTTGAAGACTGAGGCGGTTACTGGCTGCCTGAGCCCAGGCAAGTCCAGTACTCAGCTAAGCAGAGATCAGCCTGGAGGTGGGCTACCGCAGCCCTCCAGGGGTCTCCCTCCCCCGGGGTGAGTGAGGGAGTGTTACACAGACAATGGGATTCTCCTCAAGTATTTCCTAGGAAATGCACTCAACTAAAAACTTGTCCACACTGGCAATTTACAGCGCTGCAACTTTCTCGCTCAGGGGTGTGAAAAAACACCCCTCTGAACGCAGCAAGTTTCAGCGCTGTAAAGTGCCAGTGTAGACAGTGCACCAGCGCTGGTAGCTGTGCTCCCAGTGCTGGTAGTTACGCCCCTCGTGACCACAAAAGCCACATTTAAGTGCTCGTGCTTTAGTGTTGTCAGTGTAGACTAGCCCTAAATCTTGTCTGGTCTGTTGTTTCAAGAGAGTCCTTTTGAAGCTCATAATACTTCCCAAGCTTTACATTAGTCCTGTCTCCCTCTTAAAGAAATTACATACAATCCCACAGCAATATATAAACATTTGCATTTAAAATACAATGAACTCCTAAGATATTTCAACTTAAATCAGTAAGGTTTAACGTAACTCAGTAAGGTTTGTCCAGGATAGTGCAGGGAAGTGCCATATCTGTCACAGTAAGTATAAGACAAGAGACAACATATGGATACATAATGATATATGGGCTACATTCATAAGCCAGCTCCATGCACCTACATGGGAAACAGCCATTATTATTGGTACCCTTTCTGCGGCCCAAGCAGTTAGTCAATATTAGGGGGTATTGCTGAGAGAAAATAACGATATGAGTCAGGTATTTCTGGGTGCAACTCTGCTTATTCACAAAGAATCTACACAAACTTGTTTCCCTGAACAAATAGAAACAAACCACAAAAGGCAGTCTCTCTGCTCAGAAATCCAAATCTGCCTTTTCAGTAAGTACTGTACCATAAGCCCTATACCACAGCTTCTCTCCAGGGCCACATTCACCATTACTTCTCTCTCTGTAGTGTATCTTGGCTTTCTGCCTCTCATACATACAGGCACACATAGCTGCAAGCAAACAATCAATCCCTGTCTAGCCCCTTTATTTGCAGGTACATGGTTTAACTCTGCTCAGGTTTTCTAATGCAGCCTATTACCTTGGACAGTGGCTTCCTATTGTTCGCAGTGATCACTATATAAAGGGGCCTAACTGCTCTTTCCATCAAGCCTGAATGAAAGACTGTTAGCACACTCATCAGTTTTAACTAGGTCTATGATTATAGGCAGCCATTTACTTTCCAGCATAACACTATTTTCTGCATTTTAATAGTGTCCAAAGGGCCCCAGCAGGATCAGGGCTCTATTATGCTAGGTGCTGTACAGATACACAGGAAAACATGGTCCTAGCTCCAATGTAATTTAGCTTTCTAATCTAATCCAGAATGCCATCTGAGCATATTTGTACAGGACAGTGTGAATGCCCTGATATAACAATGTGATGTTATAATTCAGAGAGAGTTAAACTCTGTCTTTGACTAGAGGGACAACAAGTGCAACAGAAACAACTCAGCCATGAGGGGAAGGTGGCAAGAATGAGACTGGTCTCAGGTGAAGAAGATGATTGGTCATTCAGGGAGTATAAAAAGGAAAGGCTGGTGGTGTTTGTTTGGAGTGGTATTAATGTAGGTAATATATTTTCCTGTGTGGTAGGGAAATATGGTAAGACTGCTTGGAAGGAAATTCGCTCAAAGCTGTATATTTGAAGAAGAGGACTTCAAGAGTGCTTTACTGTTTTGACCTCTGGCTGTGAGAAATCATTTGCTTTGTGTTTAGCTTCAGTGGCTTGGGTCTGCATCTTGCAATGAGTACTTTGTAGAGAGACTCCCTATTGGCTTAAATGGGATTCTATGTGGCTCTCTATGCATAGAGTTCATATCAATATTATGGGGGGCCTGGTTTGGTTTTATTAAACCATTGTCCTGGCTTGTGGATTGTGATAATAGGGCAAGATGTTCCCACCATTGGATGTCAGGTTTAGATTCTAGGACTATCTGGTGTTACCTGTAAAGACCAGTGCTTTGTCTGATTGTCTAGGTCAGTGGTTCTCAAACTTTTGTACTGGTGACTCCTTTCACACAGCAAGCCTCTGAGTGTGATTAAACCCCCCCCCTACATTAAAAACACTTTTTTTATATATATTTAACACCATTATAAATGCTGGAGGAAAAGTGGGGTGGAGGCTGACAGCTTGGGACCCCCCCCATGTAATAACCTGATGCCCCCTTGAGGGGTCCTGACCCCTAGTTTGAGAACCCCTGGTCTAGGTGCACTGTTAATACACATAAGCTGTTTGGGTTTGTGCTTTAAACTCTTTCCAAGCCCACTTTCAATCTATTTGACATACAAAGTGCAACCCCTTGTACCTATTCTTCAGCTGCAAGTGGTTTATTTACAGGTATTTATTCACTATTCAGGGGTCAAAATGCTTCTTCTCTACATCTCATTTATGCAGTCATTTTATTTGACACTTCCTATGGTGTCAATAGGTGCTCTGATGCTAAAACAGCTGTAGCAAATACCAGTAGAGCTGGATTTCGGTCTCTTCAATTTTCCCACAAAACTCTGCTCCTCTAGTCATGTGCCCCTGCACAAGGAAACATGCTCATGCTGCTATCAGACCACTCTGTAGGGTCCTTATGCTCCCCCTTCTTTTTTCTTTTGTTGTTGTTGTACTCTGAAACAGACCTATATAAAATGGCTACTTTCTTATTCAACAGGTCTTTGTTTAGTTTACTTCAGGGTTCAAAATTAATGTTAACTCTTCAGAGCCTACCTAGCTGAGAGCAGGAGCTGAATTCTATCCTGGCTCATGCATCATCTCTAGACTGTTAA